AGAAAATATAAATACAATATGCATTTATATAAAATATATATATATATATATATAGATATATAAAATATAAATATATAAATTTAACAATTATATGCCTTAAAAATGATTAGAACTAATAAATTAATAAATATAAAAAAAAATTATAATTTAACATTAACCACTTGAATTAGTGTTATTATGGTGTGTTAAATTATATTTTTTTTTGATTAACCTGGATATCCAACCCGCTATATATGCGAGCCGATTAATCTCAGGACGACCACTTGCTTTACAGATAGTCCGGAGTCACCGCATTTGAACCTCTGTGGCCATAAGGGATTTTTATTCCTCATTGGATTTGAATCTGAGACCTCCTGTTACTTTTGACCTTTGGAGCTAAGATCAAAACTATTTCTTCATAATCAAATAATTTTTAATCCGTTAGTGCTAAATTATAATGTTTTTATATTTTATTAGTTATGATTTTACTATAACCATATTTAGTGTGTGTTAGTTAGTTTAACTAAAGTATTTAAATTTATATTTTTATATCTAAATAACTATAATATTGTTTTTGTATATTAATTAGTTTTAGTAAAATCATTAAACTTAATACTTTTATATCTTATTGTAATATATTGTTAGGCGTTTAGTTTTAAAATTTTTAAATTTCAATTAGTTAAAACCAAAAATTATCAAAACTATGTTTTATTTGAGCTAAATGATTTCATTGAAGTAACGATTTTGAAAATATAGAATATTTCATGATAAAATCTAAATTTCAAGGTTTATTTAATTATATTCAGAAAATATATGTTTATGCCACCAAAATTTATTGATTAAACAGAATGACCAAATCTTAAAATAAAATTATGAGGTAAGACCAAATCTATTATAATACTGAAAAATAGTTTTTGAGACCACATCTGTTATAAAATGAGAAATAGTTTGAGGACCAAATTCATTATTGAAAATGAAAGTTGAGGGAGAGGAAGGTGAATAGACAAAAGTTGCCTTCACTTACGGAAACTTAACTGAAGGAGTTAGAAGGAGGTACCAAATCTGTTATAAAAATGAAACTATAGGGACATCCTAAAGCATGGGAATGGGAGGGGATAGAGTGGGGACCCTCATCCCAAATCTGTTACAATATCCATTCTCGTCCAGACCGGGTAGGAGTGTACGCAGGTTGAGTTGGGCGGTTTACAACAATTTTACAACCCAACCCAATTATGGTGGTTTGGAAAAATCTCAACCCAACCCAACCTATTCAAAAGTGTAACCCAACCCAACCCTTGCGGGTTGAGGCAGGTTGGGTTGGCGGATTAGTAGTTACATAATTTGACGAATGAAATAATTCATGAAACTTAAGTTTATGGACCATACTATAAAACATCTTATCTAAAAAGATTACAATAGATTTATAGGACGTTTTAACAAGTGTTTTAGAATGATCTTTACATAAAATGTCGTATTAGTTATTTTATAGAAACGTGTTGAGAAGTGGTCCCGTAAACTCATCTATTTATAGAACACCTATGTTCATATGACACTTTTTCAAGTCGTGTTGTATAAAATAACTAATACGACACTTTATTTTAAAAGCATCATAAATTTTTTTAAGACGTCCAAAATCATCCTATAAACATATTGTAACTCTTTTA